AATAGCTACTGATTGCATGTTGTACATGCTAGTTCACAACTCTTAATGAAGACTAGAATACAATAACAACTCTTTGTACTTTGTATGTCTAGTGCCCTTCATCCAAGGAATGATAATTCTTTAGAATGGTTAGGAATACATTTTAGAAACACGGAAAATGAAACATTAAGAAGTTAACTGACTTGCCTAAGGTCATATGCTAATCCTACTGATTGCATGTTGTACATGCTAGTTCACAACTCTTAATGAAGACTAGAATACAATAACAACTCTTTGTACTTTGTATGTCTAGTGCCCTTCATCCAAGGAATGATAATTCTTTAGAATGGTTAGGAATACATTTTAGAAACACGGAAAATGAAACATTAAGAAGTTAACTGACTTGCCTAAGGTCATATGCTAATCAATAGCAGAGCTGGAAATAGACCTTGACTCTCTTGTGTGACTTGAGGAAAGATCTCAGCATTTGAGATAAGCAATCTATAACAATTGTTCTGATGCTACTATTGTGCTGCTTTAGACTTGTCACAAATGTGATGCTATTTTTTTACTTTTCCTGTGGAAAAGTGGGTAGAAGCAAGGAGAATGTAAATGGTTTATTGTTTATTTTACTTCAGTTTATTTATTTATTTTTATTTATGATGAAGGGCTGTCAGCACTTTTCCTCCTACATTCTACTACTTCTATTTTAATGTGATCTGAGTTCTTTCTGGCTTTAAATTATTATTAGTAGGTTCTTAAACTTAATGGGACAACTCAATATAGCTTTATTGACTTCAACACAGTCATGCTTCTTTACAATAGCTGAATAGCTAGCCAAACTTTTTCCAAGGGATGAGTTCAGGTTTCATTTGTAAATTTTTATATCACCCAAATTACTAGAGATTGATTTTGCATATCATGGTACTTTAAGCATAATTATGTTGGTCAAAGCACCAGACCCTCAGCAGCTGTAAAATGGTGTAACTCTACTATTAGCTTCAATGGCCAATTTACATCAGCTTTGGATCTAACTCAAATATTTTGATGACCTCTGGGGAAAAATTATAAATATTGGATATGTTTATCAGAATCTATGGAGGAAAAGGGATTTTTTTAGAGAAATTATTATCTTGATGGACTTAGGATAACTTCTTTAATATTGTTACCTCAAGCAGCATTGGCCATATCTCTGAAGGAGATCTGTTTTGCCTTCTGAATATATTATTACTGTATTGTTTCTAAAATAAGTCTCTCTTTTTCCACTCTGAAATTCATTTCCCCTCCCTGCAGAAGTTTGGTATCTCAGCTCTAACCTCAAACTTGATGATCTCAGCTCCACAATAAAGCTATTTCTCATTTTAAAAAAAAGTTTGCCAGTTTGTTTTAAGATAAGAGTACGATAGAAGTTTATAGATAACAAATGTGGTTTGGTGCCTGTTCTTCAAAAATGGTGCACATCACTGAGTATCCCAGACAGCTCATTTATAACAGATGGGTTAGAGTGCATATGCCCACTTGTGTATATGTGTTCTGACATGGATTCATGGAATCTAAAAAACCCACTGTTTAAAGAAGAGATGAGTGAATAATCCACAATCAATAGTGTATTCAGTATATATTGCCTTTTCTTTCAGTTTGAAAATTATCCAGGGAAAGACTGATATCCTCCCAGTATTCAAATGTATTTACAAATTCCTTCACGATTAAGTCTTGGCCTATATCTGATTAAAATGATTACCTTTACAGTTAAATATAAAATTAACAATTCATAGTTTGTTTGTCCTGCTCTTTTGACTTGCCCTATGCCATTTCACTTTACTAGGAATGGCAAAATCTTTGAGGGCCCATCTACACAGCAGGGCAAAAGTCAAATTAAGCTATGCAACTTGAGCTACGTCAATTGCGTAGCTTAAGTCAAAATAGCTTAATTCAGCTTTTGGTGCTACCTACACAGTAGGAAGTTTGAAGGAAGAACACTCTTCCTTCGACTTCCCTTACTCCTTGTGAAAGGAGAGTTAGAGGAGTCAGAGAAAGAAGGGCTCCAGCTCGCCATTATTTTGAAACAATGGCTTGCAGTGTAGACACGCTCTTTGTTATTTCAGAATAACATTAGTTATTCTAATATAATGCTGCTGTGTAGGGATGTAAGTGACTAGTGGACTATTTACTTCTCCCCCTTGTTGCCTCTATCAGATGCAGCAAGGAGAGGAACATCATCTGCACAGGGGGCAGAGGAGGCAGGGACATGCCAGCTCTTAATATATTTAAAAGTCAGAAGTGCAGTGGGGGGGAGGAGGGGGGGATCCTGGTGCGAGCCAGGACAACTGATTCCCGCACTGGGTCCCCTGCTGTGCTCCAAGCTTTTTACATTTAAGGCTGGTGCACAGCAGAGGGACCTGATGCGGGCAGGGAATCAGCTGGCCTGGTTTGTGTCAGGTCCCCACTGTACTTCAGCCTTAATACATTTAAAAGGCTGGTGCACAGTGCGGGAGACCCGGCGTGACCCAGGAATCAGCTGTCCCAGCTTGCACTGGGTTCCCCCTGCTGTACTTCAGCCTTTTAAATGTATTAAGAGCCAGCAGACTCTTAATATATTTAAAAGGCAGAGTTACAGTGGGGTTAGTTAGTTCCTGGGGTGGGGAGATAATCCCACTACACCTCCCCCGCTTATCAATTAATCGACTAGTTAATGAAAAATCTATCAACTAGCTGATTAGTTGATTAAATGGAATTTAACATCCCTAGTGGACATACCCTGAGTGGAGACCCAACTTATACCAGAAAAAGAATGTTTTTAGTGCTCTACTTTAGTGCCTGCCCCCCAAACTAAATAAGCTATCTCAGCAAAATAATATTGCTGGCATATAAAATCACACCCCTCGCTCACTGGGAAACACTTGTTGCTCTATGCTTCTCTTTTTTTCTTTTTTTTTCTCCATTAAGACGTAAGCAAGCACAAAGCACAAATTTCAAATTGCATATTGATTATATAATGTGCAGTGTACAGTTCATGCTGTGTGTGGGTTGATAGGAGTAATGAAACGTGAGGCACACATTATTCACTGCAATACATAATCCAAAATAGCTTTTCACTATGAATCTAAGTTAAACATTTGCTTGTTGTCAACAAATTCCGACATCTGTAAACCTCAAGCATGCGACTGTTTGTAGAAAGTGCCCGTCAATGTACCACAAACACATTCAAATCAAAAGAAACTTTCCCAACTCAGACAATGACATGTTAAAATGCTTCTGCTATTCACACAGCTTTAGCTCAGATACTTGGACATCTGCTACTCTCATTCCTATTGAATTCTACTTTTGACTATGCATGTGAAATCAATGGGACTACTCAGAGCAGTCTAGTTAAGCACATGCAGAAGTGTTTGCAGGACTGGGCCCCTAGTTTTTTTTTTTAAAAAAAGAATCCCTTTGGAATTCAGTGGAACTGCTTGTGGACTAAGTCCCTGGTTCTGTAAATACTTTTAAGTTTAAGCATGTGAGTGGTCCCAAATGCACACAGGTGTTTGTAGGACACGGGCCTCAATTGGTACTCAGTGTGAAAATGGAACTTCGGTCTTAGCCTCAAATTTCCTAGCATTTCTTTGTGTATTTGAGGAACAGAACAAAACAGTAGGGGGTGGGGAGAGGATGGAATAGGAGACCTGGATCTTTTATGATGTCAAAAATGATAAGCTATGGTAAAAATGCAGTAAAATGTATAATTAGTCTTGCGCTGCTGAGCTTTGCTTAAATTCCACATTATTAAACTAAGGCTTGGTCTCTGTCTTGAAGTATACACAAATTATGTTCCCTGTGTAACCCAGAAACACTGAGAAATGACAAGTGAGAAAGGGAGTTCTCCCACCTTAGCTAAGAGCATTTAGCTTTTAGCTCATGCAGGAGAGGCGTGTGGCTTTAGCCTCTAAGGTCCCTAGTTCAATCCTACCTGCTGATGGGCTTGACCCCCATAAAACTGATTATTTTTCACGTATGATAGCAAAAGACCTAAGATTTAAAATTACACCAAAAAACTTCCGAATGGCTAATTAAACTTGTTTGTGTCTGCACAATATTACACAATTAAAAAGAAACTCGTGTTATTGCTGTTGGCATGTTACCTTTTTTGGTGAATCATGACTTGTAGCTGCTATAAGAGCCCATTCAAGTCAAAGCATCACTGAGAGTGAGCCCCCACAAATGGCCAGTAACAGTGCTGGTAAGTGAAGGACACACGCCACCATTTTAGCTTAGGAAATGCACAAGCCTTCAGTCTTTGACAAACTGTTCTTTATTTTTGTGGCCTACAAGACTACATTCACATAACAGCATAATTAAAACAAGAGTAGAATTCATGAATTGATGAAGAATTTACTATTTAAGCCAAAGAAAAGATAAATTATTTGCCTGAAATGTTTCACTGAGCCAGGATTCATACAAACAAGTGTTGGCAGCAATGCATTCTTTTGATACATTTTTCTAATGACTGAACTTAGACTATAGTATAAGCCCTTAATTACTCAGAAGCTTGGCTCTTTACCAAAACGCATTTACCCAGGAACATTTACCCAGGAACATTTA